GAATTTAAAGCCCCGTTTAAATTTAAATTTTTGCTAGACTATACTAAGGAGTAGATTACCTTGATGGTGTGATTAAGGACTACAATGTCATGACTACCGTTAATGGTGATCTGTCTCAGCCACCAAAACAGGGTCTCTTTTTCGTAGTATAAAAAGACAAAGCTCTACTTTGTGAATCAAGGGTTATGTATGCACCCAGGGCATTTTGGAGACACCTGCATAATATTACATTTGAAATTAGCCACATGTGCATCAACATAATGGAAGATTATATAGTTTAGAAATAAAATAGACATCTAGATTTTGCTTTGACATTCCCAGACTTCAAAGCTGTGAGAGATTTCAAGATTTCTCTTCTTGGAGAAGGCTCTCTTAGTTAAGATTCAAAGAATATCATACGATAATTCTTGCAAATACACATTGACTAATTTGTTTTAAGTTAAACACACATCTTTTGATAGAACTAGGAAGAGCAAATAATCTAACCAGTCAAAAAGGAAGCAAATTTTACGCAGCTGTCAAAAATTGAAATTCTAGCTAAAATACACAAATTAATATAATTTCAAAGCTAATTGTTATCATTAGCTTTATTATTAACATTATAGAATGTTATCATTCAAGACATCATGCTATTGACCATGCTATGCTATGACTTAGCTACCACTGCAGTGATAAAGGTACGATGGCTGTGACAATTTACAAGCCATAAGATATTATGGTTTCAATAACATTTTGAAAAGTACATTTAATTAATGATATGGTATCCATGCAATCCCAGTAACAGTTCATTAACTCTTTCCGCAGAGTATTAATGTCTTTCTGAATTTTATTGGTAGGCTGCATTTATTCCTTTGACAGACTTCAGGATGTCAGCAATTGAGAAATTAATAATAGTGCATTATTCTCCCTTAATATTCTGCAGTATATCTATTATCAAAGTTTGCTAGATCACCTTTCTAATCTTGCTTCTAACACAATAAATCATAAACTGTTCTAAATGTAACATTCAAATCTTATCTAGGATGCATGTCTGCTAAAATTGTATCAAGCATGCAGATTTTCGGATTAATACTTTTGACTCCATTTGGCATTTACTCATATTTCAAACATTCCTCAATATATAAAATTTCGATAAAACATTTTATAAAGCTTGGTAGAAATTTCTTTACTTGGATTTTACTTTCTATTTATATAGGGTATACAAAGTAAAATGAACACAATGTAATAAATGCTTTAGTGTGTTTTTTTTAACATTTAATCAAGTAAAGAACGTTCGATTCACATGGGCAGTTTATTACTATCACTTTACTTTGTCTTTGCAACGGCACCCACTGGCTCTTAACTTGCCCGGCACTCCCTCAGCATGCAGAGGGCCTCTGGCTCCCGTCTTACTTCTCCTCCTGGTTCCAATGTTCAGTGTCTGGGTACACGAGGGGCAACCGCGGCATGATGATGGCAGCCATGTGGATGCCCACGTGGAGTGCATCAGATGTCGGGGGGTAGTGGGAGCAGGGCTCGGGGGGTTGTCCTGCAATTGTCCTGCAATTAATAGTCTGCAACATCGCACCAAGTTTCTTCTCCTCTTAAACAGTCAGGGGGCTCCATCTGCAAGGGGGTGGGGGCAGTCCAGTAAATTCTCCTCTTAAACAGTCAGGGGGCTCCATCTGCAAGGGGGTGGGGGCAGTCCAGTAAATGGAACAAGGGATTGTGAGCAAGAAGTCAAGGAAGTCCCAATATAAGTGGGAACATTGGAGATGGGACTATATTAAGACAGATAGTCTCAGTATGTAGGCCAATGATAAGGCGAACAGGTTCAGTCTCCAGGTGTACAGGTCCAGTTTTGAGAGAACTATAATATTTCCTTCAGAGTCCTGTTCCACCACTTATTTAACTCCAGGTCCTGCACATTTCCTTGCCATATCTACTGCTTAACAACCACATGCATCTACTGCCCAACAACCACTCTGCCTAACAACCGCATGCACCACAAAATGTTCTCTGTTCTTTGCAAACTACGGTAACCATCCTGCTGGACTTTCAGATCTGCCATGTCGTCCTACGATTGAACCTAATGCAGCCCAAATATTCAATAAGCCCAAAAATCAACAACCCTTGCTACACCAAGCCATAGTAGCTGCTCAATAACGGTATAAGAGACATGCTGACAACAAAAGATCTCCGGATTCCTACCTATGAGCCAGGGGATAAGGTTTGGCTGCACACACAGAATATGGGTTTGTCCTGTTCCTTGAATAAACTACGACCATGCTACATAGGGCCCTTTGACATAACTAAGGTTGTCAATCCTTTCACAGTATGTTTGGCCCTTCCAGCCTTATATCAGGTTCCATGTCTCCCTTCTCAGGCTTTGGAAAGCTTTCCATCGTAGACATCCTGTTCATCCAATCCAGGTTCGCGATCTGAAGTCACGCCTTGGGGCACTCTGGTGTTTGGCTCCAGTGGAACTTTGCAGGACACCCCAGGGTCTTGTTTCATTTTTAGCATGTGTTTCAGCTTTCCCTGCAATAGCAAAGTGAGCTAAACAGTTCTTTTACTTTCTTGTTCTAACAACAGGGCTTGAAATACAGCCCACAATCCACAGAACTGGATAGACTACAGACATATCCATACAACAGGTAGAGTTTAGTAAAATACAGAGACATAACAGAGGTGAGCCCACTTACAGGATACTAATAATCACACACAGCCAGGGTCACTGTGATTGATTAAACAGAGATACCCACAAAGGACATGATGCATAATACTTCAGCTCTTTCTCTCTGTCTCTCTTACTAGCCTATCTTATCTCTTCCTCTCACAAGCACATCTTCAGTAGTGCTCCTGCTATGATAACTTTGACTTTCTACTAAGTTTTGCTGCTGGTATGAAACATGTCAGCAAGTTCATTAACTCTCAGTACACAGTGTTCACAGGGTTAAAGCAGCATGAAACCGATAGACTCCTTCTTACCTTTGCAGATGGCAATATAATTAATCTGCAGTGGTAATATGGAACCATGAAGTAGCAGACATGGTTAACAGAAGAAACAATGAGTACTGATTAAAACAAATTCAAATCAGAATCAAATGAGTCCTCAGTGTAACAGCCCCAGTCCTGCAGATTAAAGCTTCACAACTTTTAAGCTAGCCGCAGCATGTGTGTGTCGGGTCTCAGCCATAGAGTGACTGAGCACTTAAACAAAATGGTGGGTATATGTAGTAGGTGTTATTAAAACTATTAGTGCTCTATGTCAGAAATGTACCCTTGTCACCTCTGGGTTCCTCTGGCTTTATATATATATATATATATTAACTGAATATTTGAGTGACTTTTGGGGGAGTGAAAAAGATATTATTTAACACTTACATTTGGCAGGGGCCAGGAGCTCTCCATGATTGTGCTATGCAAGATTCCTTCTTGCTTCTCTCTCCTCAGGGCACTATAACTCCAAGCCCTGATGTCATGAGCCAGTGATGGCTCCTAAATAAAGAGTTCAATAGCCTGACTCCGCAACTCAATGGAAATTCCTGAAGTTCCTTCTTAAAAGACACTAAGCATGTGCAAAACCTGCTTAAACAAGGCAAATTTAAAACCAGCCCCATTGTTTTGACATGTCTAAATGCTCTCAATAAGCTTCTTCATGTGACAACGCTGTCTATAGCCTTGTAACACCTTCAACACTAT